AGAGCTTGTTTCAATAAGGATTCTGGTACAGTCCCCTCCTTACCTACCCCATCACTTTGACTAGGAGAATTGAAGAAGTTGGCATTTGGTTTGAGTCTAGTAGAACCAGAAGGAGATTTTCTACTGGCACCAACTGGCACCACGACTGGAACAGTGGAACTCATTTTATGAATTTCGGATAATTGGGTGTGGCTTATGTTGCATATAGAGTAAACTATCAATGATCGGACTCCACCTATATTCGGACACACTTTTCTCAACCTATGAATTGCCAATTTAGATCATTCATGCACTGATTTAAAGACACACTCTAGCCCTACTATATACAGAAAGTCAAGAAAGTTTAGTGACTTATACTTAAAGTTATGCTGCAAAGAACACCCTCGTCCGATATTCCGTAAGATCAGCCATTATCCTGCATCGTCGTACGCTCCTTGGTTCTCAGTGATAACATCAGTTATCTCTTATCTAACATCAGCTGTGCAAACATTGATTCTTATACTTCATTTAAGTGCAGTAATAAGAGAAACTGATAGCATTTTGATTTATGGTAAATTTTAAAATAAGTACTCCTAGAGTCCTGTATATTCGGACTAAACCACACCCACTTACAGAGAGTAGTATAGTTATCATCATCTTGTTATTCTATGCTATCAGAAACAATTGTGTAATTTTTTTTACAATTCTCAAAAAAACATCAATGATTACTGGAGTCACTTATTACAGGTCACTTCTTACAGGCTTTGCATTTGAAAGTGAAATCAGGCTTTTCCACTACCTTGACTGATACTCCCTGACATATACAATGATACCATAAATTGCAGTTTGCACATTCCACCCATTTCCTAGCATATTTATGCGTGCATTCCTCTTTTTCACATGAAGATTCTATCAAAAATACATGAATAAATAATATATCATTGACAAATACTTCATAATGTACTTGCTGTAGCTTTGGACTTATGTTTCTGAGCTTCTTGCCTCTCCCTTTCTTCCTTCTTTTCTTTCTTCTCTTTTTCTTTCCTTTCAAT